AACCATTCTGTAATTCTATGATACAGTTTCAGTGAAATAAATTGTAGGGAGGGGTCATCCGATTTTAGTCAAATAGCTGTACATTCACCTGTGTGTACCATGAATCTGCTGAAAGCAGCAAGTAAAATTCCTAAAGCTGCAAGGTGTGTGGAGGGACAGATTTATTAGACTATTTGATAACTTGACTGACTCGCTCAGCTGGACTAACTTACATGTGATTAAAATATTATCACAGATCATAACTGAGGGGAAATACAAGAAAAGTTTTGATGCTTTGAAAGTCAAGCTCCGAACGAATGCTGCCTGCATAGTTTGCTTGGCACAGATCCTTTTTGGTTTTGTGTTTGAAAACACAGAATTTGATTGGTTTTGTGTGGTTTTTGGGGGTTGGTTTGCTTTTGTGGTTTTTGGTCTGTTTGTTTGTGGGGATTTTTTCCTGTTCATTTACAAAGCTACGTATCACTTGTACAAAGATCAAGTGAGAAACTTATTGCTTATTCATACAGTTTATCGTCACGCTTGATTGTAAGTGAGAGACTTCCTCCTCCTCCTCCTCTGTTGTCTTGGGTTTTTGACTGGAGATTTGTGTTAGCTACCCATCGACGGCAAAACACATTGCCCTTAAATTAATGGTTTGGATACTCAGAGTAAGTCATGTGAGTAATGACTTACAGGAGGGTCAGCTAAGAGGCAAGCAAAGAAATGGCTAGTATCCTCTCATCACTGTGAATTGCAGAAAACAACTGTGTAAAAATGCAAAGTGCTATATGACTGTTCAGTCCATTTTCCGCTCCTCATGTCTCAGGAGTTTAGGAACATTTTAATTAGGCTGTTAAAGTTACTTTGAGGACACACAAAACAAGTGGGAAATGTTGAAGGGGGTGGGAAAGACAAGCAAAGAAATGGCTAGTATCCTCTCATCACTGTGAATTGCAGAAAACAACTGTGTAAAAATGCAAAGTGCTATATGACTGTTCAGTCCATTTTCCGCTCCTCATGTCTCAGGAGTTTAGGAACATTTTAATTAGGCTGTTAAAGTTACTTTGAGGACACACAAAACAAGTGGGAAATGTTGAAGGGGGTGGGAAAGAGATGTATTCCTGTTTTTTCACACTTAGCATGTATGTGTGTAAGCATTTCTGTGGTGTTCAGAGTCTGCTTTATGACAGTTTGAAATTACACATTAATGTACACACAGCTGAATTTTATCGGTCATAAAAGGAACAGATAAGCACAGCATGTTTTTAGTACATAGTTTTGGGTGCTTGGATTGCTATTACATGAGGTCCTGCACATATTCTGTATGAAAGTCCATTTTTTTTGTTATGGCAGTTTTTAGCTCTTTGATGGGAGGGAACCCCATCTCTCCTTTGACTGGGATCCTCCTATTTTTAACCACCGTGGAACATGGGGCTCTGTTTCCTTTAGTGCAGCATGCAGCGTTGTTTGGTTTGTTTCTGCTCCTTGTGAGTTCTTGTGTAAAAGTTACCTGCAGAAGACTTGTTGTACTGTGAAGAGTGTTCACGGAAGAGCTGTGAAGGAGAAGACTGTAAAACCAGTTTACTTGCTGGGATGGTAAATATACTTTCTCTGTAGAAATCAGGTGACCAGATAAGGTCTAACTGGTTTGTTTGTGTAAACTGGAGCGTGTACATCTGACAAGTACTTCAGGTTTTCATGAGGAGGGGATTTTTTTGCCCCTTGTCTTACTACTGAGTTATGCTGTCAGAGGTGCTGCTGTTGCAGTGTATGGATTTCTTGGCTGGCAGCTTGCACTTCGTACAGCTGTGGGTTTTCTCGCTCATTAGTCCCTGAAAGTGAGCAGTGAAGCTTTAAACTATGGGAGTGCCAGGGAAATAAAGCACAATGAACTTATGGCCTGACCGCTTCCACCCCCCCCCACTGCTTTCTAGAAGATAAACTTTGCTTTCTGCTTCATTCAGTTTGTTTTTGTCTAAACATGTATTGCTTGCCACCTTTACTGCATCCTTCTGAGGGGCAGGATTCTGTTTAGAAGTGCAGTAACTTGTGTAAAGCACTGAAAGACTAAATGGAGACCTGCTTATTGACTGAGTAATTAACTTAGCACAGAATTGCATCACCACCTTGATACCTGGAAGGAAATGCTGGGCTCATGCTTGGCAGGAGTTAGTGCTCTTAATTTCCATCTAGGCAATACTTGATATTGGATTAATGGATTGAGTCATGCATGGGTTGTCTCAACCTTTGAGATGTTTGTATTTCTGTCCTTCTGCCTTCCTACCCTTTTTCTGTTATGTAGTGTTTCTCTGATGGATGAACACTGTAAACTGTCTTCAGGTTGTTTTCCACAGTATATGTGGGTGTGGAATGGGGTATTGCAACCTAGGAGGCTTGCTTGATTTCCATCTGCCATCTCTTTTGTGCTTAGGTGACTGCCAGCTGCAACCACCTTGTCAAATCCAGAAGTGCACCACCGAATTTGTATCCTTAACTTCACATCTCAACTCGGCTCTTGAGGGCTTTGATCTGGAGTTCTGTAAGGCCCTACGAGCTTACTATGCCTGTACCTATCGCAATTCCAAAGTGTGCCGTGGAAACCTAGTCTACCATTCTGCAGTGTTTGGGATCAGTGATCTCATGAGCCAGAGAAACTGTTCCAAAGATGGACCCACATCCTCCACCAACCCTGAAGTGACGCATGATCCCTGCAATTACAGTGGCCACACAGAAGGTGGAGAACATCAGGGGAGGAAGAAGACTCCCCCTCCTACTTATCTATTTTGTGGCTTGTTTGGTGATCCTCATCTGAGGACTTTTAAGGATCGCTTCCAGACATGCAAAGTGGAAGGTGCTTGGCCCCTCGTAGACAATAACTACTTATCAGTGCAAGTGACCAATGTTCCTGTGGTCCTAGGATCCAGTGCTACTGCTACAAGTAAGGTATGGATTGTTCTTAAGCACTTGGCATGCATACAGGAGTAAAGAGCCAAGACAGTAGAGTAAGTCACTTAGCCCTTAACAGTTACGAAGTGTAGCAGCTTGAGAATCTTCTACGCAGTAGTCTAAGAAAGTAAAACTCTTAGTCTCTTTTTTTCTGAGAATGAAACAACACAAATCAGGTCCTTTTCTTCCTTATGCGCCTCCCTACTGCAAGAAAACCCTGTACCTATCACCATATAAGCCTTTAAGGATTCTAAAAGTAACACTTTAAAACAGTTACAAGATTGAAGCATCTGTGGCAGCCTCTGCACCAAGTATAAATTCTAGACAGAGAGCAAGGAAAAAGTGTCTCTGCTTTACATTCATTCTCTAAATTATGTAGCCACAACAGTAGAAGACAGAAATATTGATGGAGTGGCACAACAAATGAGTTACCAAGACACTGAGGGTTCAGAGCAGAGGCAAGAAGGAGAACTGTGGAGAGTTGAGAGGAGGTAGCAAAAAAAATTCTGTTGGTGCCAAATGATTGTCAGAAGGTCTTAGTACCTTGGCTTTGCTAAAGAAGGAGCAGCCTGAAAGTTCTGCTGAGAGTGTAAGTTCTGTTCAGACAGGCAAGACTTAAGATTGCTTTCCTTGTCAGACACTTGAGGTGGCTAAAGAAGGAATACATGTGCTGGTACTGATAATTTATGTAATTTGCTTACCTTAAGAAGGGTCTCTTTCAGCTGTAGGCAGATAGCAGGTGTGTCTGTAGGAAGAAAACTAGGAGATATAAAGTATAAGCCTTGCTAAGATGTCCTTAGATTTATCTCCAGAGCCAGGAGTGAAAAGTGTTCTGAACTTTTGGGGGCATCTTTCATGGAATCGTACAATCTTTTAGGTTGGGAAAGACTATTAAGATCATCCAGTCCAACCCTTAACCTAGTACTGCCAAATCCAGCACTAAACCATGTCTCTAAACACCTCATCCACATGTTTTAAATACAC